TTACATAGGGACTCAGTGGGTCCTAGCCCCCAAACTTAAGACAATAATGAGAAGTTCTGTACAGTTGCCCAGTCTGCACGGCCAAGTGACAGAGAGATACACGTGCTGTGGGACCTGGCCACTCCACCCACACTGTGGTGGCACATGGGGACAAAGTGGGATGCTGTATGTACACGTTTATACAGGGCTCAGGAAGGTCAGGCTAACGGAGATGTAGAAAAGGGGGCAGTGGGTAACATGGACGATCCTGCACAGTGGTGACAGGGAAGAAGGCACAAAGACAAAGACCCTAAACCATGCAGACAAAGACAGGGCCTGTGCAACAGAGCGAAGCAGATGGGTCCCAGCAGGCACAGGGTCACCCCGGGACAGCACTGAGAGGGTGCAGGACTGACCTTGGCACACATTCTCAGCGGCCCCCAGCCCCAATCCCATTCCTACTGGTGGCTGCCAGGCAGACATGTCTACATTCCAGCCTCAATGGGGAGAGATGGGCATCTACATGGTCATCCTGGAGCACTATCACGCTGTGGGAGACCTGGTGTATGGTGAGGATGATGGCCAGGTGCTCCCCCACAGTCTACACTCACAAAAACACAGCTTCCTGAAAAGCAGCCTGTTTTCCCCAGCAGACAGTAGACAGTAGCAGGAGGGCAGAGTTGTGGCTCAGGTTGCCCCTCATCCCGCTCCAATCACAACTGCTCTCAGCAAAGGGAAAGGGACTTGCTCAAATCACCCGGGAGGCCATGGTCCTTGGACACATGACCTCTAGGTATGTGAAGTCTCGCCTTACTGGGGGTGCGTAGGCATCTCAAAGGGAGGCCGAGGGTCAGGGAAGAAAGCCCATGAGGCTGCCTGCCATAAATCCCTTAACAGTCCCTTCTCAGTCTGAATCCACCTCAGTCCTCCACAGATGTGCCAGGCGACCTTGATGATTACAGTCACATCTAAAGTGAAGTTTCACGTTGAAAGCCGCTGGTACATGGACACGGACACACAGAACACAGAGGCCACTTTCCCCTGTAGGCCTTTGTAGGTTAAATCTGTCATTGCAACAGAAGCACCCACACCACGCCCTCCTGTACCACAAGGACACACTGACTGTTCTGACCCATTGTGGAATGGAGTCTGTGGTCAACATAGCCTGCCGACTCCCATCCTGCTTATTCCCTCAGGGCTGTGAACTTGCAGCCTGGTGACCTGGATCCACCAGCTCCTGAAGGCATCTGGCCTCTCATCCTGGGGACAAAGGGACTTCTCACCACCTGATGACGTAACAAGAAAAGCCACTGAGAGAGAGCCCAGCACAAGTGACTGCTCTACCGCACCTGGCTTACCTAGACCAACAGCAGTTTGTTCTCTCTACCCATTGGCCAGCACACTTCTAGGAGGCGTGGCTTCTGCCTTGCGCTGCACATTTGAGTTATCAGGGAGCTCTCTCAACACCCTAAGGCCTGAGCCACACTCCCGTACAATAAAATTACAACCTCTGGGGTCTAGCCCAAGCACCTGAATTTAAAGGTCTCCCCAGGTGAGTCCAACACACAGCGAAAGTTGAGCACCTCTGCTTTGGACTTCCTGCTTTGGGAGGCTTTCTAGCTTCGTAAGTGTTTTTAATGAATCAGAAATAAGATCAAGAAAAAGGAATTTCTCTTTGACCCATCTCAAAGAAGACTGCACATTTACAACACTAAAAAAAAAAAAAAAAACCAACTTGTGTCTAACTCTGGCCAATTCAGCTAAACAAAGTCTTATTTCTTATACCCTCCCACGGAATTGGGCCTAGGTGAATCAAAAGGTACCTCCTTTTCTATCAGATACAAAGAACCTGCTTTCTGGTTCAGCCAACTTGGTCTGATTTTTCCTTGAACTTAAGGGCAGTTCAATGTCATGTCAAACAGGAGTCTCCTGTAAGGCTCCCCAACTCCGGAAACCAAGTGAAATTCAGACAAACTATTGTCTATGCCAACCTGGTTTGACAACAGCAACGACCACCACCCAGGACCCCAGTTAAACTAGAAAATATTGCTGATGCTTGGGCCACACCCAATACTAATTAAGTCAGCCCAATATTCAGAATTTTCAAAGATCTCCCATTTTAAATATGCATCAAATATATGTAGAACATATACTAAATTTTTTAAAAAGTTATTTGTTGTTTATCTGAAGTTCCATTTTAACTAGGCATATCGAGTTGTTAGTGGAGTCTGTTCCGACTCATAGTGACCCTGTGTAGGGTTTACAAAAAGCAGCTAGTGGGTTTGAACCACCAACCTATTGTTAACAGTCCAGTGTTTATTCTACAGTGCTACACCATCTGACATTCCTGCTACTGAAAGATAACTCCCAACTAAAAATAAAACAAGGAGTCAGAAAGCACCAAGAAGTCTGTTCTGCTCCTCCAAGCTCTGGCACCTGACAGCTTTGGGGCTGGGATCTCAGGGCACCTATCCCCGAGATCCCACTCCACCACACTCCACCTCAGGTTAGTTTCCAAGATAATGACAACATTTGCTGGTGTCAAGTGCCAAGGAGTTGGTTCTCAGTCATAGGAACTGTTTAGGGTTTCTGAGGCTATAAAAAAAGCCTCATCTTTCTCACACAGGGTGACTAGTGGACTTGAACTACCGACCTTATGGTTTAAGTCCAGTGCTTATCTTCTAGAGCCACCGTACTTCCTAAAACAACATGTGTGATCTTTAAAAGACAATTTGACAGACTAGGTTTCATAAGAAATGTGGATACATTTTTCAACCAAAAGGTTGGATTTAACTGTGTTACAAGAAACTCAATCTCCCTTTGAGATCTTCCAACTCCAACCACCCACTGCCCTCTTCTGGGGATCCCTGGGAGTGGCACCAGGCTGGGAGTGTGTCCCTGCAGCACCCCCTAGAGGGAGAAACTCAGCAGAACGCACAGTCCGCAGCTTTCCCTGCTCAGTTTCCTTTGGCTGTGCTAGACACTAGCACACACCAGGCAGAAATTTCTTTCCCTATTGTGACTCTATATAACGAAGACCTCTGCCTCTGATTCTGGAAATCCACACCAAAACAGCTAAAAACAAAAATGGAACAAACAAACTGAGTTTTTATTCCGATTCACAGCCACCCTAGGTTCTTCTGAGAACTGTGATCTCTCTCGGTGTGATCTTTTAGATCACCAGGTCTTTCTTCTGAGGTACCTCTGGGTGTCTTTGAACTACCAACCTTTTAGTTAGCTGTTGACCTGAGCAGCACCCAGGAACTCTGAAAGCAGCTAAGGAGCACAGAAATGTTTACATATAAAATGATCTCAAACTTATCAGGTAAGCCTCTCTGTAGGACCCTAATGAAGCAAAACCCAGGCCAAAGCATGTCTAGATTCACCTTTAAATTACAGTCAATTCTTCCTAATGGTTAATTCTCTAGAGACCCCTCTCTCATTTCTGCTGCTTCGCAGAACTTCGAGGAGCAGGGAAGCCAGTGTCTTAAACAATTAAACAGTTAAGAGATTCCCAGAAGACTGACCCCTGGCCTGGCCTTCCTGTTGGGGGGCGGCCCAGGCCCCTGGATCAGATGATTCAACCCCATTATTTGCATCATGAATCAAACTCCCTACCATAGCCTTAAAAATAGATTTCTGAAATCCAACAGAAACAGCTGATTGCAAAGGAGTGAAGATTGGTGCTGGCCACAGCCCGGCCTTTGTGAGCGAGCAGGGGACACAGCGAAAGCCTCAAATCCGCTCTTCACCTTCTACCACCCTTCTCTTCTCTTTGTAAACACACTTCCATGCCCCTCCCCAACATACCCAAACTTTCCTTTAAATACTAGAAGTGCAGAAGAAAACATACTGCAGGGGAGAAATGAAGGCCAAATATGTTTATATTTGGACGAAGGAAACGAATCACAAGCCATATAAAATTGAGACAAACTAGAAAACTCACAAAGTACCGTATCTTCCCCCAGCTGCCTAGAATAAGCACACAGTAAAAATCCCTAGCATCAGAGGATGGAAGACTAACTTTTCCCAACTTGGTCTCCCTACCTGCACAGCATGCATCTTTCTGTCTGAGAACGGAACACAGGTGTGTTTTTAAAAACTAAACGAAGGCCTTCTGCTACCTAGTTGGGCCCAGAGTTGACTCCGAAAACCCAAACCAGAGGCTTGCCATCGTCCGGCTGCATGGAGAACAGAGCTAGGTGGTTCCTATGTGCCCCTCACTCTGAAATTGCTGCTGCCATGAGGAGGAAAGTGGCAGGAATGTGGAACTGTCTGCTCCCCGTAGATCCCTTTCTGTGACTGCCCAATGCCAACCATTGCCTTACACACCTCCATCCACCAAGCCCCTCCCCCCTTCTCCTTCCTTTTTCTCCATTTCCAGTTGACACCCAAGTGAATGCTGCTTGTTTGTGTTAAAAACAAAACTCAACCGGAAAGGGGAGGTAGGTAAGCAGGGCTGAGGAAGGGCTCGGGGGACTCCGCAGAACACAGCTGTACCCTGCAGCCAGTGTCTGTCACGCCACACAGAGCACCATCCCGGGCCAGCGGCCTCCTCCCTGGCCTTGAGAGGTGGTTAGGGCCAGGCAAATTTGGCAAGGACACAGCTGTAGAGTATTCCTACTCCTGCGGGGAGATGGTAATTTTACTCCTCCTCCCAGGGAAGCAGGCTAGGTGAAAGGGCCACTCTCACTAGTTTAAAATCCGTATCCCCCAGAGGTAGAATCATTTGATCCAGTGTCTAACCACAAGCATCCAGTTCTGTTATTACAGTGACGCATGACAGCAGACCCTGGCCCTCCCACCTCCAGCACCTCTGCCCCTTGCAAAGGGGTCACAAAGTACCACCCTCACACCTGAGCACAGGCTGCCCCACATAGACACCAGGACAAGTCACACACGGTGGCCAGAGAGACATTTACAGTGCGAGTATGAGGTCTGGGCCCTGGGCCCTCATCCTCAGGCAGGTCTGCCCCTCCGTCCTTGGGTCCCCAGGCTGCTCTGCAGCCAGCCCCCGGGTTTCAGTGTTTGATCTCAAGGATAGAGGGGTTGTGGTCCAGGATGGCGAGGATGATCTTGTCCATGTACTGTCTCAGACGGAAGTTGATCTCCTCTTGCTCCTTCAGGGCTTCCATTAGCTGCATGGAACAGGAAAGAAACAGGCAGAGGGGTGAGGGAGGGCCCAGAGCCCAGGGACAGAGAGGCTGGGGAGGCCTAGGGCGAGGCAGTCCTGGGACGCACCTCAGCCTTGGACCTGGGGACAAGAAGCCAAGAGTATTCTGCCCATGGAATGTGAGCCCTCATCACCTTTGTGCAACAACCTCAGGCATTTAAAGCTGCAGGGCCCCTATGGGTGGTCTGCTCTGCCTAGACCAGCCTCTCTCCCCATCCCCAGCACTGCCCAGGGTGGTTCCTAACTTGTCCTTTACCCCAGCTTAGCCTGATCACTTGGGCTGCTGTAGACAGGGACACGCTGGGGTTGATCCTGGGTATGGGTCTCCTGCTCTGGGCAGCTGGGACTAGCATCACGGCAGGTGGGGAGTGGGGGCAGAACACAGGTAAGGAGGAGACTTGGCTCCAGATCAAGAGGCAGAGGGACGTGGTTACCTCATCACGTGAAGCTGTGTCTATTTCTGCAGCCAGAGACTGGGCTTTGGTCTGAGTGGCAAAGAGGTTCTTTGCTTCATAGAGGCTGAGGCTCAAGATCTGTCCATTCAAGTCATCGTTCTGATCCCGCAGCTTATGGTTCTCCTATGGGACAGTGGACGAGGGTTACATCAATTCCCCGAAGCATCAGGAAGACATATCTCAGCATCCAACATCTCCTTCCGCACTCCAATCAGCAGCACTATCCCCTCAGGTGTACGTAAACAGCCTGCTCAAGATGCCGTAGGTGGTGTGGATTTTGCCACACTTGTAGGGAGTAGAAGGGCTGGTGTTCTGGGAGTTCACATGTTTTTAAGGAGCTGTGTTCCTGGACAGAGAATGGCTGCTGGCCATCCCTTCCTCCCCGGGAGTTGGACAAGCCAGAGCAGGAGCCTCTGAGGCTCTGGTGACGGCACACCTACCTAGTGGCCTTTTCTCCAGCCCTTGCTCTTGGTGAGAAAAAGGGAAGCTGTGGGGTGTTCAGGCAGAGAGGTCAGCTCATCTGCTTGGTTCAGGAGGCCTACTGTGGTAGGTGTTCTCTCCCCAGGCATCTTGACTTTGCCCAGTCCAGATCCCCTTTACCAACCCCATACTCCTGGTTTTGATTTCAGTCTCCCATCTGCTCATACTAGGGTCTTCAGAGAAGGGCTGGGAGTCTGGCTGTGGTGGGAGCCTAAGCACTCACACCTCTGCTGTGACATGGAATAAACTCAAAGGTTCAATTTATGCTGCAGGGTCAGACTGAGCGTTCTACCTGAGGTGGTCACTGCCCCTTCCTGATCCTCTTTCCCCTACCCTTGTACTAGTCTCCAATAAAGGAAGCATGGACACTGGGGTTCAGGGTCTACTCTAGGAGTACGTAATGCAGTCAGGCTCTAATTCGTGGCTGGGGATAGTTGCATTCTTGACCCCAAGTGCTACTGACAGGAAAACCAAACCTAACCCACTGGTCATTGGGTTGATTCCAATTCACAGTGACCCTGTAGAGGGTTTTCAGGGCTGTAAATCTTTAGGAGGGGCAGAAAGCCTCAACTTTCTCTCATGGAGCAGCTGGTGGGTTTGAACCACTGACCTGTCATTCACAGTCCAGTGCTTATCCTATAGTGCCACCAGAGCTCCTAAGGACAGGAAGAGTGGTGTCTATTTCTTTTTATGGGTACAAAGAAAGATCTGGGTTTCCATCAGACATACTGTAGAGGGAGTCCTCCAGCCATACAATGAGGTGGCCAGGCCCGACAGGAATATGGGTATAGGTGTGTGCTACATTCTTACCTCTTCACCGTGGTCCCCCATCCCGTTTGACTAAATCCCACCAGACAGAGTCTCTCAGGGCCCACCTGCTTGAGCCGCTTGACCTCATGCTCCAGTTCCACCTCACGGGCCCTGGCATTGAACTCGCCCAGGCCGGATGATGCGCTGCGGCCCCTGCCTGGCCGCTCGCAGTCCAGCTTGTACATCTGCAGATGCTCCAGCTCCTTCCGCAGGTCTTCAATGAGCTGCAGGGGAGACAGGCTGGTCGGCAGGAGCAGGGATGCTGGGAGGAGCCCTCCGGGTGGCCCTCTGGGCAGGGACCCACCTCCTGAGTCGCCTCCCGCTCCTTCTGGAACTCGAGACGGTTCTGCCGCAACTTGTCCATCATGCGCTTATATAGGTCCATCTCATCCTTGAGCCGCAGACTGGTGTCTTCCAGCCGGTCAGACATTCGCTGCCGCTCCTGGAACCAGGAGACTCCAGTCAGAGGGGGAGAGGCCCCGGGTCCAAATCAGGTCCCAGAGAGGAAATTCCCTGAGGATCTGGACCCCAGCACTGCAAACACACAATCAGCCCAGCTTCCCTCTAACTCACAGCTTAGTGGCCCCAATGATTCTAGAAGGCCAGTTAGAAACCCCAGGCCTCTGATGTCCTCCACCGGTGCCAGATGGAGTGTGAAGAAACAGGGGGCGGGCAGCCCACAGAGAAGCTAACCTCTTCTTCTCTTTTGTAAAGCCTATTATTCCCCCCATTATGTAAGAAAACATATTCACAGAAAACATGGGATGTTTAGAAACAGCGAGGAGGAGCACATATCCACATTGTGTTGCATTTCTGTGCTGAGTGAATTTGGCACTAGACACTAGTGGCCCCCAATGCCTTGCACAGCCTGCTGTGGACACGAGCTGAGTCTGAGACAGCCAGACCTGCCACACCTGCCTCTCACCTCATCCAGCTTCTCGGTTTGCGATTTGAGCCGAGTCACGGTTGTTTTAAGCTCGGTATTTTCTTCCTCTAATTGCTGCACCCTGGGAAGAGGAGGACACACATCTCAGAACGGATAGAGAAGTGCACACTGTACACAACAGCTGACAAGATGTGCAGGTTCTCTGCTCAGAGGAGGAGGGAAGGTACCAGAACACACACACACACACACACACACACAGTGAGACAGAGAGAAAGCGAGACAGAGAAGAAAATATAAATTGTCCCAACTGATAACAGTCCTGAGGTTTCTGACACCCAAGACAAATTGGTAAAGACACAAATAGTCATTTTTTAAAACAAGAACAATAAAAAAACCATTAAATGGTGAACCAGAACATGATCTTTTTGGATATATCCTCAGAAGGGGCCTAAACAACATGTATAATGGTTCCCTGCAGGATAGATTTCCAGTGACTGTTTGTGGTAAAGGCCCTCCTGTTACCAAAAGTAAACTGAAGACCAAGGCAGTGTTTGCTTTCCATTCTCCATCCACCACAGCTCACCGGGGCTCCACCAGCTGCCTCAGATGCCTACAGGCACTGGTCCCCACAGTAATGGCCTATGCCACATTCATGAATGACCACTCTGAAGTGTCTGCCCAAGGAGACAGACCTGGGTACCTGGATGGGTTCAATGGCCCAACAGGATGTGCAGTGTCACCTCTGGCCACCGATTCCTGCAGGCACCTCTCCTTCCTCCAAGAGAGGTGGCCCCGGCCTCTACTGAAAGGGCCATAGAGGAATTGAGACTCGCCAACACATTCTGCGGCCTCACAGGGGACTGAGAAGCAGAGCACAGTATGTGACTTCAGGGTATGAGCTAAGTGATGTGCTCCATACTGGAGGTGCAGGCTCAAAAAGAAGAGGGCTAGCTTTCTCTCTCTCTCTCTGTATGTGTGTGTGCACTTGTCTGACTCATGCACACACTTCTTCCACCACCTGGGCCGGCCACCTCGCTCAGGATGGCTGACCTGTGCCAGCGTCAGAATGAGGTAGCAGCCTCCAGGAAGAGAAGCAAAGCAGCTTCTAGAACATGAATGCACATGGTAAACGAAGCCCTGGGTTAAAGAGTTAACACAGAGGGTCTCAAGCAGGCCAGCTGCACTGTGTCTGACATGGTGAGCAGAGCTGGAATGTTTCTTCACCACAGAGAAGACTGGTCCATCTGTTCCCCTTGGGCTTGCTTGACCTCAACAATCAGGGAAACACTTGACTGAGAACCACAAGCTGCCAGGTGGGAGCCCAACTCCCTGCCACCTGCCTCAGCAGCCTGCCCCATATCCCTCCAGCTGAGCCTAGCTGACCCCAGGAAGGCTCAGCTCAGAGAATGGACGAGTCAGCAGTATACACAGACTGGGGCCATCAGCACAACCACCCCTCTCCTGTGTGCAGTGCTCTGCCATGTATAGCCACCAGTGAGGCAAGACATGGAGAGGGTGACATGGGGAAACCGAGGTTCAGGGAATGACCAGGAAAGCAACCTGGACTCCCAGACCAATGCTCCTTGCCCTGCCTGCGTCAAGGCTCCAATAGTGAGACACATGAGCCAATTAAACCCGAACTATGTTTTTCCTTGGACTTAGGCCTCTGGGGCTCAGCCTTCATCTGACAGCAGGGGGCGCTCCAAGCCTGGCCACTGGGTCTCTTACAGAACTCAGGAACCATCCTCTCCCCCTCATCCTACTGATAAAATGGGCTGTACCTGGAGTGTGTGTACTGAGTAGTAAGCGGCCCTGGCTGGCTCCCAGAAAGGAGGGCAGCTCACCGTGTGTTGAGCAGCTCCACCTCCGTGCTCTTCTCTCGCTCCAGCTTGCTGTAGGCCTCACGGTGGTGCCTGGCCGCCTCCTCCAGGGCCTGTTCGGCCGTAGTCTCTTGGTCCTTCACCACCTCCTCCAGCTCGTGCACCCTGAGGAGCACAGCACTGACTCAGATGCAGGAGCCAGCCTAGGGAACTTGCTTCCTCACCCAACCCAAACTGTAGCCCTACTGTGGGAGTTACTAAGGGCATGTCTGGAGGCCCGGGAACCAGCTGCTTGGCTGATAGATGAATCTGGGACACTGAGACATCTCCAAAGAGGAGCATCGGCCATGGAGAGGCAGAGATGGCGGTGGCATTCAGAGGGGAGCGAGTGCCCCTGGGCCTCTGGTGGCAGGGCAGGCAGGGACAGCAGGCCTCAGGTCTCACCTCTTCTCTTTCCTGATTACCTGCTAGCCAGCACCCCTCTAATCAATTATTCAGCCTACTGAACACCTTGACCCCAAAACCACACAGGTTCTGGCTAACGACCCCAAGCAGGCCAGTCCCTGGCCTGCATGAATAAACTGGCAGCCTATTTGGTACCGCCCACTGATGACACACATCGGTCCCCCACCAGGCTAATCGAATTCGGTGTCTGAAAGGGGTCTATCTTTGAGTCTGACAAGGTTGGGAACCAGACCCTGAGCTGGGACAAACTGAGTTCCATGCCACCTTGGGAGGTCCATTAAACTCTCCACCCTGGCAAATGCTATCAAGACATGCTATGCTCAGTGAGCTTCTTGCCACTGGGAGGAGGGCCAGCAATGCCTGGCCCATTCTTCCATTCACATTGACCTGTCCCTCTGCAGAGCTTGTCTCCCAGCAAAGGAGGCCCAGCTCCCATCACGTGTGACAGTGAGAGACCAGAGAGCCAATTCCAACTCCAGCCTTGGACCAACCCTGAGGCTGCAGGCCTAAGGCCAAGGTCAAGCTCCAACCTGTGTCCCTGCCTGGGCAGGACCACATGACAGGGGGCAGATGGGTCACAGACCCTGCAAACTGGAAGGGACATGCGGGCCAGCGTTCCCATTCCCCAGGTCCAGCCTGTGCCCGCCGGACCTGTGCACCAGCTGGGTGTTTTCCTGCTTCAGCCTGCTCTTCAGGTCCCCATTGGTCAGACTGTCATTCTCCAGCTCCGTCACCTTCTTCTCCAGGAAGCTCACCTGCAGCAGAAGTACAGGGTGAGTCCCCAGGACTGAGAACCTGGGGACAGGACCTCTGTAGGAGCAGGAAGAGAATGACAGGCATGTCTGGAGGGGGTGGGGGTACATGTGCCCTTCATCAGAACCAGGGCAAGAAGCACCAGGTCTCCCAGGTCCCCACACAACAAGGAGCAGGGAGCTTGCCCCAGCACCCTGAGAAAGGCCCTCGGAAGCCCCCCAGGGTCCCACCTTCTCTGTGATGTCGTTGTCACAAGAGTCAATGCTGTCCCGGAACAGGTCCTCCGTGCTGCCGTTACTGCTGCTGAAATTACTGCTATGCATGAGCTGCCTGCAGGGGCGGAGGAAGGGGCCACCTGGGTCTGGAGGCTCCAGAGAGGCTGAGGGGCCCGCTCAGCCCTGGAGACAGCTGGGAACCCTAAGGAGGTCAGCCGCAGCCAGATGCGGAGGGGAAGGGAGCATGTCTGACCCCTGGACCCAGCTCTGGAAACGACAGAGGGCTGCTACGACCCTTCCTGACTCCCAGGCAGACATGGCCAATTCATCACAGCACTCTTCCTGCTGCCTCGGATTCCTTTGCGATGTGCTGTTCCACTTGGTTCCCTCCAGGTGACTAGAGTTGCCAGGAGCCCCCTACCCGCTCCCATCCTCCAGCAAGAAAATGGCCTGGTGATGCCAACCTGGCCCCACAGATCTGACAAGGGTTGGGCCTCCTTGGGGTAGGCAGCCAGCAAGAGGGAACCCCCTCTAGCACGTTGGCTCCTACTACATATCTGGGGAAGGGGAGGAGACCCATGCAGACCTTGCAAAGCCTGGCTTAGTGGGTGGGATGGGTAGCAGGCAGATGGGTTGCCAAGGTGATACCTGTTCTCAGGTGAAATCCAGCTGTCCCCCCTCCCCGCAGTCAGGGTCTTGGCCAAGAAATCATTCCACCTCCAGCTCCTGGGCCAGACAAAGCGCCCTTTCCAGGGAGCAGAGCCTGGGCACTCCATGCATCTCCCTGGGCTGTGGTCTTGGGGCCAGTCAGCAGGATATAACCGGGCAAAGTGTGCGTCTTTAGTGGAGCACGGTCACATCTGGGAAACCCAGGGTTTCTGTACGTGCGGCTGCCAGCTCCAGAGCAGAAGGAGGGGTCACTAAGTATCCCTTGGGAGCCTGCCTGAAGGTGAGGCAGCCGAGGGACTGGAGAAGGCAACCACTAGCAGAAGGTACAAGAGCCTAGGGCAGGAGGATGCGGATGCAACTCTGGCTGTTCTGCCTGCACTGTCCTGGTGCACAGGGAGGGGGCCGTTCTCAACACTTCTCCCAAGGGAGCCTTACCGTCCAAAGGCCGTGCTGGAGATCTTTCGGTTGGGGCTAAACAGAGAGAGGGAGGGAGGGAAAGAGAGGGGACAAGTCGTCAGCAGTGGATTCTAGGCCATTCCCTGACTCTGCTCTGGCTGCAAGATACCATAGTGCAGGCAGACCTTTCTTCCCATGGGCTCTGGGAAGATACGTCCGATTTTCCTACAGCATGATAATCCAGGCCAAGTTCTTCCACCCGAGCACCAAGACTGCTCAGAGCCTCTCACTGCTACTCTTCCCTTTGATCCCCACCTTCGCCCCCACCCCACCCCTATGCTGGACCCTGGGGCCTAACCTGTTGGCCTTTAGGTTTTTCAGCCGAGCTTCCAAATCATTCAGCAGGTTGATTTTCTTGCAGCACTGAGAGCAGTAAACATCCAGCAGCTCACTGTTGTACGTGTGACGCATTTTCCTGGGCGTCTGCCCCGCACTGATTCATAAAGGAAAGAAGTCACCCTCTTAACTGCTGTCCAGTCTGGTGTCACACCATACCTTGTTGAGTTTACTTTTCACCTTTACCTGATGCCTCAAGACCACAAAGAATGTATGTGTTTTATATATATATAAAATAGAAAGCCAGATACACATCTATCATTGTCCCATATTCTCAACGAGAAGAAACCAGTGAGATGTAACCATTTACCAGATGACTAAGAGTTAATGTCAGACTCAGAAAGGTGGGAAGGTATCACAGTAGGTGACCCTTCAATACTGAGGTTACAGGAAGCAAAACAACAAAGACCACCCAGTCTACAGCCCCCCAGCTTGGTTAATTCTGCTTCTTTTTCAAGATGGCAGGAGGGCGAAGGGCACTCCAGGTACCCAGTCAAGATGCCAATGAGCACACCCAACTCCACGAGCAGTCTCATAGCAGCTCAGTTGAAAGGACTCTGCTTCACCTAGCAACCCCCAGGATGAGATGAGGCTGCATTGCTTCCGCCATTTTTCCTGAACCCAACACCATCCAGACCCAGGGACCACCTGGAAGACACGGAAGACCCCAGGTCTGAGTAGACGTTGGTCCTGGTCTCATCATCTGGGCAAGGGCTGCTGGGGGCACAGTCAACATCGTCCCCCTCCCCGTAGTCTTCAAACTGCTCCTCGTTGCTGATGAGCGAGGCGGTGGAGTGTGTGGAGAGGTCCGATGTGGTCATGGATGGAGTGTGGCCCAGGGACCTGAGGATCAGAAAGCAGTCCAGGTTAGAAGAGCCAGCTGTCAGCAGGGTCCGCCCCATCTACAGTCGATAGCAGAGAAATGGGACCTTCTAAAACAGGGGTGGGGAATCTTTCTTCTGCCAAAAATTACATCATCATTCATGGGCCATATAAAATTATCAACTTAAAAATTAGCCTGCTATATTTGGTCAAAGATTTAATTAGCCCACCACACCACAAGCCTGAATGTGATGGCTTGTGGTGTGATAGGATAATGCAGTGGACCACAGAGTCTATTTAAACTTCAAGGTCGGTGGTTCAAATTCACCAGCTGCTCCTGAGAAACTTCCTGTACAGGATCGCCATGAGTTGGAACCGACTTGACAGCACTTAATGTGATGGCTGAAACTGTGGTTGCCTTGGCAGGACCAGACCAAATGATTCTGAGGACCTTCTAGGTCATTCAGGGTTACAGATTGGGAGACTGATTAAACTTGTACCTTCAGACACTTTTAGGATTCCATTCCAAGGGGGATTCTTGCCACAGCAACTGTTTCTGCATCCGAGATAGTTGGAAGCAATGCTATGCTAGAGCTGCAGGGCATTGGCTCCTGGTTACAAGGGCTAGTCATAGGGCTAAATTCTAGTAATTCGATGATAAATAAGTAAATGAGAATGTTCAATGATAATGATCAAGCTAACCAATAATTAGTTACTGCTGAGTTGACACCAGTTCAGTGGGACCCCAGGTGTGTCACAGAAGAACTGTGCTCTTCTTCAGAAGTTGATCACCGGGCCTGCCTTCTGAGGTGCCTCTTGGGGGGGCTTGAAAATCCTACCTTTCTACGCAGTCAGGTGCATTCACTATGTGTACCATCCAGGGACTCCATTACTAAGTTAAAGACTATCAATAGCTGTTGGAAAGTTGGTAAGGAATATTGACAATAACGTAAAGTAAAATAGCAGGATATAAAATTTTAGTTGCAGTAAGACTAAGTTTGTGAAAGGTCAACATAGAAACAGGAAAATGTAGGAAATAAAATATGAAAATGGTGGCAGGGCTTGTTGGGTGGCGGGGCTCTGAGTGAAGTGACTTTCCCCTTCCAGTTCTTCTCATTATTAAGTCTCATCGAGTCAGTTCCGATCACAGTGATTCTGTATCGGGTTTCCAAGTCGCAGCTGGTGAGTGTGAATCACTGACCTTGCGGTCTAGTGCTTTATCCCACAGCGCCACACAAGGATTCCTGAACAAGTATGTTGTTGTTAAGTGCCATTGAGTCGGTTCCGACTCATAAAGATCCTGTAGTAGAGGGTTTTCCGAGGAGCAGCTGGTGAATTCGAACCACCGATCTTGGTGTTCAAACCAACTTTGCAGTCTGGCGCACTGACCCACACAGTGCCGCGTGTGCTCCTTTTAGAGTGAAATAAGCTGCTAGACAAGTACCTTCTCCCCGTTTATAGACTGGGTTTGTAGCTCCAAAGAACCTAAACCCAATGCACACAGGTCTGAGACACTAGACTCTCTTGAGGGTGACCCGGTGTCTCCCTGTAAGGGTCTTAAAGGCCTGGTTAAGCCCTGTCTACAATCTAAGAAAAATGAGAAGTACAACCCATCACCTACCAAAATAGATCTTCCCTTTGGTCATTATGTAGCCATTTCTGTGAATCATTACTCATAAATTAGGGTTTTTCCAACCTCACTGAGCCTCCACACTCAAAAACAGGGAACTTGAAATAGTGAAAGACGTGTGTAAAAACAGTGAAGGCAGTGTGCCTCTGAGGAAGCCAAGTTTCTACCTGAGGATCACAATGTAAACAAATGAATGCTCAAGATCAAGTCTCCCCAGCACCTCGGGCTGCGAACCTTAAGGTCAGCGGTTCGAAACTACCAGCCGCTC